CATAAAATATACCCAAAAATAATAGCACCACCAGAGCTATTTGCAAATTTGTGATTGAGCAACTGAGCAACCAAAACGGAAAATATACTCTGTGCCAGGAAAATCCTAACGGAGGACCACAACTGTTGCAAAGGAAAATCATTAGAGTTTGATCCAAATTAACCACTCAAATCTCAATGAATAAAACTAAGCAATGATGCAAGAAATCAATTAGAAGCTTGAGATATACAAAAATTAAATTAATTGAACAACAAAATTGGAGCTATTCCCCTAAGTTTAACCATTAAAAACGTAAAGAATTGAAAATTACGATTAACCATTATGTACTTGATAATCACAAATGGGGTCATAAGGTAAAAAAATTAACCACTCAAATCTTAATGAATAAAACTAAGCAATGATGCAGGAAATCAATTAGAAGCTTGAGATACACAAAAAATTAAATTAATTGACTAACAAAATTGGAGCCATTCCCCTAATTTTAACTACTAATAGCATAAAGAATTGAAAATTGCAATTAACCATTATGCACTTGATAATCACAAATGAGATCATAATGTCCAAAAAAATAACGACTCAACCCCAAACTATGAAATACCAAATTAAATACAGAAACATCACAACCTCAAACCCACCCCAAATCAATTTAAAAAAATGGCCCTTTCCCCTTCCCTTGTTCTGTCTTCCCACCTATTTGTCTCAGTGTATACTCTCTATGCCTCTGATGAAACCAAAACCATGAACCAACAGAAAACCTGCAAAATACCATAAACCTCCAACTATTTACACCTTGGCATATTCATTTTATTACACCTAGACCTGTAAACGGGTCGGGTTTATTGGGTTTGGGTCGGGTTCAACCCGACCCGTTAAGTTAATGGGTCACCCGAACCCAACCCGTTAAGCTAACGGGTCACCCGAACCCGACCCGTTAAGCTAACGAGTCACCCGTTATCACCCGTTAACAATTATTATTATTTATTTTTTTGCATAAAGTTTATTTTTTGTTATTAAGACTTTACTAAAATTACTAAAATATCCTCAACTAACGGGTGCTAACGGATGTTAACGGGTCCTAACGGGTCTAACGGGTTGACCCAAAGTGACCCGTTATTTAACGGGTTGTTAACGGGTTCACCCGTTAGCGACCCGACCCGTTAAGCATCCACCCAAATACAAATATTAACGGGTTGGGTCGGGTCGGGTTAACGGGTTGGGTCAAAATGTCAGGCCTAATTACACCTATCACTTCAACCAACAGATGGATTCATCTACTAACAGCATAAAAAAAATTAAAATCACAATTAAACTTAATACTTTATGTCATCATCTCCCTCTATGCTTATGTAGAGGGTTCTAGAAATCAACATATATTACGGAAAATAACAAATAATTTGTGAAGCAGAGCAGAAGCGAGATTTACCTCGATGCTTATGTAGAGGGTTTGGACGATGTCTTCCTCGTAGTGGTCCGTGTGACCAATTTGATAATAAGTACTCTGAATCTTGTCAATCCCAGACGGATTCAAACGTAAAAAGGGCCAAATTTTTGCCCCTCCCGATCACAACTGTAAAAACAGAGACAAATTTTATGAAGCTGGACAAAACACCTATAACCCCACGTTTAAAAGGATCCAAAACCCTCCACAAATAAGATCTCTTAAAATACGAAGAATTTTAGAATCGAAACACCACAATAAAAAGGTCGTACCCAGTGCACAAGGCTCCCGCTTTACGCAGGGTCTGGGAGAGGTGAATGTCGGCTAGCCTTACCCCCATTTTATGGAGAGGCTGCTCCCAAGTCTCGAACCCGAGACCTACCGCTCATGGGCGAAGGCACGGATCAGAGAAGAAGCAGAAGAAAGAAAGGTTTAAACGAAATAGAAAACTGTCAAACTCAAAGCTAACATATGAAAGATGAGAGACGCATGGAAAAAGGGCAAAACCGTAAATTTACTGTACAAAGCCGATCACAGATGAGGAAAGCAAGGATAAACCGAGGGGCAAAACGGTTTTAGGGCTGGTTTGGTATTGCTGTGCTTTGAAAAAAAGCTGCTATGAGAATAAGCGGCTGTGAAATAAATCAGCAGAGTGTTTGGTAAACTTTTTTGTAAAAGTGCTTTTGGAAAAAAAGCAGTCTGATAGTGGGTCTTTTCATTAAATGAGCACTGTAGCAACTCTGTGTGCTTTGAAAAAAAACCAGTTTTCCAAAGCTGCAGATAGCAGCTTCAGCTTTTTCCTTTGATTTCAGCTTATTCTCACAGCAGCTTCCAAAATAAGCTATTTTTTTCAGTTTACCAAACACCTAAAACCCTCACAGCTTTTTTTCATGGGTGTTTTTTTTTTAAACACCTCACTCCCAAACCACCCCTTAGTATATATGATTTCTTCCCCTAATACATTTTCTGCCACGTAAGCAAATTTGGTGTGGAAAACAAATTAGGTGCGGATGTTTATAGAATTAGGGGTGATTACTAATACACCCCTCCCCCCACCCCCGGCTTCTATTATATGCATTTACATATACTATTTAATTATATTAATTTTTACTATTTGGTGCTGTAATACCTCGTATTTAAAAAAAAAAGATTATATATTATATGTGTGTGTGTGTGGGGTAATTATTTTATGTAATGATTTTATTAGATTTGTTTATACAAGAATCTACTTTCGATATGTAAAATAGTTTCAATGTAAAATCCTTTTTGCTACAAATTATTTTAAAAACTAGTTAGTAGTATTTTATGTTCATATGTAATTAGAGATATTATTTAGTTTGAATTGGAGAAGGGAATTATAATGAGTTTGGCTTGATTTTTTCTCACAAAAGCAAGGTGTCGTTTTGCCAACCATTAGAGAATAAAGAGGAGGGGTTAGTCACTATTCTAGATAGGTTGAGGTGGGATTCTATATCTTATAGAGTATGGATGTGGCCTTTGGGTATTTGTCCACTTTTCATGATAATTTTTGTTTATGACTAACTTAACGCATGTTGCTTTGTCAAATGAACACATCCTATTATCAATGATTAACTTTACATTTGGTGTGTTTCTATTAGAACTAGAACACATAATAGGACTAATGATTAGCTTAACATTTGTTGTTTTTCTATTGGACCACATTTCATTCTTAATGATTAGGACAACAATTGTTGCTTTGTTATTGGAACACATTTTATGGTAATGATTGGCACCATACTTGGTTTCTTTCTATTGGACACTTGGGAGATTTTTTTGGAGAGGAAGATGTCATGCAATTTCTACAAAGGAAGGAGCAAGAACCAATGGAAGAGACATGGAGAGGAGAAAGGAAGAAGAAGAAAAAGAACAACTCCAACAAAAAGCCATCCCCCTATCTTATTACCTCTTTATCTTTCTTTTACATACTGTTAAGGCTTTAAGCCATCTTTCATTGTATTTGTAAGTTTCTCATATATAGTGAAATACAATGAAAGCAAACCCCGGTGGATGTAGTCGATTTGGCGAACCACTTAAATTTTGTGTTGTTTATGCTTTTACATTTTGAGATTATTGTTATGAGAGCACTCCCACCAAACCATCAAAAATATCCATTTACTTCCCTTGAGAATGTTGTAAATAAGAGGGACAAATACCAGAAAATGCATGAGAACTTACCCAACAAAATTGCTCTATGAAACTCAAATGGAGTCATGCATCAATATCACCTAGAGAGAGATGAAGTAAAATGGTAAAGTAATATTTCTCAATTAGATTGTTGTGTGTTATCCATACTATATATTATTGATAATATAATACAATTTTGGCTACTAACAGTTTGATTAGTGTTGTAGATGTTATAGAGCATGCGATTATTGATATCCTTGTTACATGGCATATACATAAGCATTCTTGTATAGTAAGAAAAAGAGTTAAGTTGTGAGGATATTCAAGGGCTGAAGTTTGCCTTGAATATAAAGTAATGAACCTTGTACACGTCGGGAGAAAGGCTTGAGTATACAACCGGTTGGTTATAAAATAATGAAATCTTGTATATGTCAGGCGTCGGGGGAAGTGCATGTATAATAAAGTGGAAACTGAGAATTTAATTACAAATTTGGGTTTAAAGGATGAATAGGAGTTAACTCATATTCTAAGGTATTTGGAGCCAAGTGGTATAAGCATGATATAAGATGTGCAGGCTTGGGTGCCTTAGGTATATGTTAGCAGGATTAGAAGGGAGTGAGTACATTCATTCATCTCACTTGCATATATGCATTTGAAATAATTTAATTAATGTAGTTTTTGTTGTGAATTAATTTGTACACTAGAGTTATTTCCGATGCGTATTCAATCAATTATATGTGGTAAACTCAAGCTTTATCATGTAAAATTTTGTGATGTGATGTATTGTGTCTTGGTTATTAATTAATTTCATTTTAATTTTCCACCATATATTGGTTGTAGAATTTATTTATATAGCTAAGATATGGGTCACATCCTAGCTCGTGTATAATCTTTATTCAGGGTCAGGACATGACAGATGCATATTTATTCGCCTGAAATAAAATTTAAATTAAAAAACGTCAATATTATTTTAATTGATTTTAGTAACCACATTTAAATCATATTATTAAAGGTAAATTCGTACTATTGAAATTTAATATTAAATATATTACACAAAACAAATGTATCAAACTTGTCTTAAAATACATAACACAGAAGTTTCAACAAATAGGACATATATTATAAAAGTATCAAACATGTCCCAAAAAGTTAATAAAAACTTATTCAAGCACCACAAATAGTACGAAATCAAAAGCACTAACTCTGATTTGTTGATTTGTAGGAACTCTCTAATGTGTAGACATGACTTGTTGCAAAAAATTTGTATCATTAAGCATTCTTGTAAACTCTCTAGTAGGGCTGGGTTCGGTTTGAAACGGTTCGGTTTTTTGCCAAAACCGAAACCAAACCGAAATTTCGGTTCGGTTCGGTTCGGTTCAATTTTTTTTCGGTTTTTTTCGGTTCGGTTTTTTTTCGGTTCGGTTTCAGTCCGGTTCGGTTTTTTTTTTTTAATAAAATGTAAACTTTCATTAAACTTACATACATATAAAAGCCCACAACTAAACACAAACAAAAAAATGGGCCAGAACAACAACCCAACCCAAGGGTTGAGCCCGAAAAAGAAAGAAAAAAACGGAAAACCCTAGCTGCTAAGTTCCCTTGCCGCCGTCGAAGCAAGCTCCAGCGACCATGTACCAGCAATCCAACAAACACCAGAGGTGAAGACCATGAATCGCGATATCCAATCATGATTTCCTGCTTTTAACAACCCCTGAGCACAAACAAACATAATTTTCCTTCAGCTGATGAATTAACAATCACAATTCAAAGAGAAAAATAACCTTTTTCGTCATTGATTTATGAATTACTTGCATAATTCACATAGCAATATCATTTCTAAACAAAATAAAAAACTGAAGAACAAACAAGGAAAATTGATTAACATTTAGACCTAAAACTACTAGAACCGCTCAATTCCATTGGCGTAAAAGCACAACAACTGAAAATCTAGTTCTCGTCAATTTTCTTAGGCACCAAACTGAAAAAACTATAATAAAAATGGAAATATGAATAACCTAATAACGAAATCCATCAGATCTAAACAGGCATGCAGAGATCGAATCCAAAAAACCAAATGCACAAATCCATCAGTATTTGGATTTCTTTTTTTCTTTGTTGGGGGTTAGAGAGAGAGAGAGAGAGGGAGGGAGAGTACAGTGGGTGTAACTATCCATCAGTATTTGAATCCATCAGTAATCCAAATAACAATCGAAACAAATATCCAAATACACAAATCCAAAACCGAAACCGAAAACAAAAAAAAACCGAAAAATCATGAAATAATTCAACAAATTAACTGATGCAGATAAAAAAAAAAAGCAAATGGGTTCGTCTAAATGCCATAATCGGACTCCAATATCACATGCCCAGTGCCCATATTCAAATTCATAGTCAAGTCCACAATAGATCTAGAAATTCCAAAACATATTCAGAGAAAAATACAAACTTTTCCACCTTAAATTACATAAATTTCAAATGGGTAACCATAAAATTAAAAACCCATAAACTGAAAAATAGATAAAACCCACAACCTTTGCTGCAGCGATATCGCAGTGATCGTCGCAAGCTCTTACAATTCCTCTTTTCGTCGGGTCTCGAAAGGGGCGAGGGAAAATCATTGTTTGGAGAAAAAAAAACCACGAGGAAGACAAGAGAAGACTAGAGAGAGTGATTTGGAGGAAGAGAGGAAGGAGAGGGAGAGAGAGAGAGACTGAGGAAGCAGAAAGGAAGTCGCGGCGGGGAGAAAGAGACTTTGAGATCTGAAAATGAAATGGGAATGGGACAGAGACGGCTAGGGTTTTAAGTTTTTTATAAAGCATTCAATATAAGAAACCTATAAATAATATACTGGTACAACTATAACAATAGAAAGTCTACAGTCAAGTTGGCTGACAGCATCTAAACCCAACCTATAGGTTAGGGGTTCGAACCTTGATGCTAACATATTTTTTTGTATTTATATATATATATTTTTTTTTCGGTTCGGTTCGGTCCGGTTCGGTTTCTGGACCTCAAAAACCGAAACCGAACCAGCCAGATTCGGTTCGGTTCGGTTTGGCAGTTTCGGTTCGGTTTTTTTTCGGTTCGGTTTTTTTCGGCCTCGGTTCGGTTTGGTTTTCGGTTATTTGAACCCACCCCTACTCTCTAGGATGTTGAGACACATGGTGGAACAATTATGACTAATATGGCTGGGGATGATAAAATTGTGTTGATGGTGTATATGGATATGGTGGAAAGTGTTGATAAAGTATATTTTGACGAGAAGTCGAAGTGTGTTGGGAAGGTGATTAGTGATGGGAGAATGATTGTTGCGGATAAGGAGATTGACGCTCAACGACTGTTGTGGAGAATGAGAATGATGCTCAGAGGGAGATTGTTATTGGGAAGAAGACTCATGTTGTGAGTGTGGAAAATGTTGCCCTAGTGAAGATATAACCTACTTCAAATTCTAAACCTCATTTCAATTTTGTTGAGACTCTTCACATTGTTGCGCATAATTTGCTTGAAGCTGTAAAATCTGAGATTCCAAACGGGCATAATCTTGTCCTTTACGTGATTGACAGTAAGAGATGAAGATGTTGGTTGAGTTTGTACAACCCAAGGCACCATATCCGGTGTTACCCGCGCTCCATAACCACGAACTCTGTCACATCTCTCAAATCTCATTGCCGATACATATGCTTTTTGCCTTAACTTTGGTGTCTCGTCGCCATTGGTAGTAACTAATTGGTAGTTGTAATTATATATAATGTACTTGTATATGCATTGACCGGTATTCATCATCTGCTTCTATATGCATACCATGTAGTTATATAAAATAAACGCAAACTTCTTATCATATATGTCACTAGACAATATCTAAATAGATAGATATATCTACATCGAATAAGATTCAAATTTCCTATGACGCCAAGCAGAATGCTATCTCCAGGTTTCTCTTCCTGCTTCTCCGAGTTTGTAGTGTAGGTGCTAGGTGTTATATTACCTCATACATTGTCGAAGAAATGTGAAAGGTAAAGGCAAAGTTTTAAATGAAAGCAAGGAAAACAGGTATGCAAACGAAAACCTGGAACAAAGGCTAAATAAGTCATCTGACAGTTTAGTAAATAATATGCAATGCAGCAAACGTAAAACATACAAACATTTATTTTTTGCAATAAGCATGCTCGTTTTGTAAATATTTAAGCTCATCCAAGTTAGGAATACTATTTCTTAAGCAGAATGTAAAAAAAAAAAAAAAACATAAAAGTTTATACATTATTTCTACTAAAATACTTAAATTTAAAACTTACCGCCATTTGCTCTAATGCATTATCAACCCAACTCTTCTTTTCATCACGTCGACGTGCACTGTTACGACCCGTCCCGAATAAATATATATTTTCTCCCCGAATGTATGTAAAATGACGTTTATGCCCTTGTGGGCTTGGTGATGTGGATGTACGTAAATAATTTTTAATTATTTTTCTAGCTGACGTAATTAAGTTGTACTCGACATCACGAGAGCATTGATGCGAGTTAGGGCTGAATTGGGTTCATAACGAAAATGTTATGAATAAACGAGTGTGTAATCGGGCTAAGGAAATGGTCCAATCACCATATCTCCTATTTTCTTGGGTCCAATTAGAAGCACTGGTTTGTTTTGATTTAATTGTTAGCCCTAAACCTTATGGCCCAATCAAGGCCCTATTCCTTCTATTTCTGCCCAATCCCGTGACCACATATACACCCATACACACGTGCACACCTTTCTCCCTCCTCTCTTCTCGATCTTTCCTTTTTGTCCGTACAACCAAGTCCTTCAACCTTCAAACACTACAGATCGAACTTGTAAGGACCACCTTTGAGTTCATTGCAAGCCTACGAACCTAACCATACCAGTTGTTCAAAGGAAGGACGCCGGGAACTCGAGAACTTGCGAGCTTCGACGAGGTACTCTGTTACTCCGACGTGATTGTGGGCATTTCACCAGATTTTAAGGCTCAAAAGGGTCCTAAACGATTCTATGAGGATCCTAGGCTAATTTTGGAGTGGTTAGAACGTTGAAACACTTGGGTTGTCGAGTTTCAAGTTGGGTTGGTTATGTCGAGCCATTTTCCACTGTTTCTCGTGGGTTTTAGGACCTCTAAGAGGTAAGAGCATGTTCTACTCGTTCAGGGCTTCAAATTGATTAAAATTTGTGAAATTTGGTTGAAAAACGAAGGAGATATTCAAGTTTTAAATTTTTCCAGAAACCGGCGACGCAACGGCTACTGGCTCCAGATTCCGGCGAACCATCGGAGAAGGAAGGAGAATATTCCGTCAATTTTGACGGAGTATACTGACGGCATCAGACAAAGTTAACGGTATATGCTCCTATTTAATGGAATATACCCTAACGCCGTTAGAGATTCTATCAGTGTGTCAGGCACGTGCCTGAGCTTGACAGGAGCGTGGGACATCGGAAAATTATTTTAAAAATATGAGGATGCTCGTGGTGTTGAGTAGGCCATGATGGTATATTCAAACACCCCAATTGAGCAACATATGAGAAGTTATTACACGGTTTTGGTTATGTGCTTAAAATTAATGTTAAAATAGTTGTTTCACATATAGGTGAGACGTTTTCGGAGGACGAGCGTAGCCAGGCGAGACTCGGGGACGACCCTACTACATACTAGTGAGTGGGCTTTTGGTTTTCTATATATACGTATATATGCTTTGCGTTTTCCCAGAAATTTGTTTTAAATGGATTTACGATTTTAAACGCCATGTCAATTGCATTATGCTTTAGAGTATACATTAGTATAGATATGCATACTGTTGTTTGATGCTCCGGATGCCCAGGTAAGCTTCAAGTGAGTATATATTGATGATAGTAGATGCATTGTTGTGATTATACGTAGAAGCATTTAGAGCTCATTATCCTGCACTGTGGTATTAGTGTTCCCGCCCGTGGTCAGGGCACAGTCTTTCACATGATGTTCACATCCCGCACCGCACCGCACACTCACCTTGGATCCCAGTTTGGTGCACAACCCTGTCATATAGACCACAATAGGTGGTTCCGACTCGTAGGTGACTCGCAATTTATCTCACAGCCTTCACGTGATCATAGTACTTCAGCATACTTATTTACACTCAGCCTTGTCTTACAGACCACAATAGGTGGTTACAACTCGTGTGCATGCATATTTGATGAGTTATAGGTTCAGTCGTACATGTCATGTTAGGTGACTCCGGCTGACATATTATTTATATTGATTTATTTCACCTGGCTTACTTATTTTATTGCTGAGATACTTGACATGGCATATACTTGGTTTTCATTACTCTTGAGCATGATTTCTACAAACGTACGTATTACTATTTTATGGGAAACTATAAGGGTTTTACGATGAGGGGTTATTACTCTTGGAAAGAGAAATGGTTTTGAAAAACTTTGTTTTTGCCCACTCACGTTTTCTGTTTTGCGCCCCTCCAGGTTTTAGGTAGAAGTTCGTGTTGGTGACTTACAAGGATTCTATGACGGTTCTGATAGACTTCAAATAATGTAGGAACTTTCTTTCTTTCATGTCTTGTATAATCAATACTTAGCCTACTGGATTGCACTTAGGTTACCTATGCTCTGATTATGTGTAGCTATACTCTAAACATCTCTACTCGCACTTATTTACTTGTCTAGTGTGAATTAGCTAATTGGTTTTTAAATTACTCACATTTTCATATCACTGTCACTTCCGCACTGCTTATGGCTACGTCACCCTTACGTGACGGCCAACATGTCTCGATTCCGATCGGGGTGTGTCATGCACCATATAAAAATTCTCAATAGAATCAAGCTTTTGATCATGTTTTTTCTCTTAACATTATAATACATCAAATAAGAATAGTTTAATACATATAATCACATAAATAAGAATAAGCCATTTACTTACAACTATGTGTCAGGCGGAGCTCTTTGTGCCGTCGGTGTGATTAATCTTTTACTTCTTGCTATTTATAACATTCATCTCAACAATAATTTGTTATTAACAAAGTAATATATATATATATATATATATATATATATATATCATAAAATTAATATATTGTTTAGAAATAATAATACTTATTATTTTTATCATTGTAATTAACCATAGTCTACCACTGGCCCAGGTCTACAAGGTCATCTCACATGAAACGTTCTGGCATATGCCAACATATGGAGAGTAGTAATTTTCTTTTAATTTGGCCTTGTAATTACGCCACCTAGTAGCCACTTTATTCAACAATTTAAAAGAATAATAGGAATATTAAGAATATCTTCTGATCGCCAATAATTAGTTTAACGAGAAATCTCACTTATTAAGGAAGACGCAAAAAAGAACTTTAAGTTGAATAAATCAACTTACTCTAGAAAATGAGACAATTTAGGGCAATTGAACAAAACACATAGGTGACATTGTTCCAAAAAACTTCTTTGAATATCTACACAACTGCCTTTATATCACGAGGCGTAGAAATATTGACATTACGACCAAGTTGAGTACGACAATTATCGATATCTCATAAGTACATTGATTAAAACAATGCAGCCTCATGAGTAAGATACCCTATGCAAATGCTTCCTTTGGGGTGATTCTTATTTCTAACATATCTTTTCAATGTTTGTAAGTACCTTGAGTGAAAGTAAGATTTAAATGAGTTTATGAAACATTTAGAATGGGGAAGCAAATTTAATGAAAAAAAATTATTTACCTTTCTTTGTATACATCTAACAATATTGAATTGGTTCCGCAATTGAGCCACATAAGCTAGATGAACGGAT